AGGTGTGTCGCCTGTTGCCTGCGGCCTTTCCTCTATACCTGACGTGTCGTCCGCTGCGGCATCCTCATCGGCGACCATTGGGTAGGTCTCCTTCACGTCGTCTTCTTCCGCGTGCTGCTCAGGCTCCGCCAGCAATTCCTCTGCCTCATTCGCGTTCGCAGTGCACGCATCATCGGCCTTTGCATCTAAATCCTCCGCGTTTTCGTGAGTTTCTTGTTGTTGGATCCTCATTTTCTGTGCACGTTCCCCAGATCGCCTTATGCTTTTGTTATTCACCAGTGCTACTTCCCTCACCTGCTCAACTTGTTCTTGGTTGAGAGCCACGGCTACTCCTTCAGTCACAGGCGCGTGGCTCCCTCCTGCCATGGCGGGGGTCACAACTACAAAATTTAGTACAACCGTCTCTGTATGGGCACACAACGCCTCGGCCTGCACGGCCGTCTTCACCTCAACTCCATTGACCGCCATCAGGCTGACACGCCCACGGTAATCCGCAAAGAATCTTCTTGCCATCATCGATATTCCTTGCCTGGGCACGCTTCTTACAATCAATCTATCGGTAAAAGCACATTCCCATGGTATGTGTTGATCAGGACGGTGCAATATAAGCGTCGCACGTTGCCCAGAGGACCCCTCGCCTCCTTGATTGGGCATAAGGAAGGCCAGCTGCCGTACACGTGATTGCTTCAACACATCTTCGCCCAGTTGAAGAACAACGCGCTTGTTCCTCTTGGTGGTGTTCTTAAAGATTTCCAAAATATCCTCCCCCCCACCAGGTAATACATCTGGAACTGTCTTTGAGTTTATGGCGACTATTCTGGCTCCCTCGGTAGTGCAGCGAAGGAGTCGATGCAATTCCTCCCCCTCATCGGAGGCGCTGCGAAGCGATGTGTCAATGTCCACTATTTTTCCACTGTGATTGAAGATTAGCCCCCATGAGGATGCGACGTCCGTGCGGTAAAGCACCATTGTTGATGTCTCACGATCGACATGCTGCACTTTCGTCTCGGTGATGGGGGTTTGCGTTGTGTTGGCCTCCACCAGCACCACCCAGTCAGCGAGTTGGTAGTATTGGCGAGAAAGAATGAGCATCATCTGCTCAGCCGCCTCAGGCGTGATCTCCATGAGCTGAACGCACGGAAATGTAACGAGAATATTATCGTAAAAGGATTCAAAATCATTTAGCAGCGTGAGAGTAGTGCGCAACGCAGCCACTTGTTGGGCAGTACGCTTGTCGTTGTGACTGCTTTCCAATTCCATCCTCAGGCGTTTGCGCAACTGTTCGAGAAGCATCTCAACACGTAGTTTTACACTCACCCAAGTGAGTACATGAAGACCCTCCACAATGCCTGCCTGAGGCGCCTTTCGGTGGGCAACGTACTCCGCTAGCACGGAAGTGATCCCCGCCCGGTCCAGTTGCCCCAATACCACTTCCTTATGAAATGACACCAGACCAAAACGAATGATGTCCGCCAGCCCAAGCAGAGCATCTCGCGGTGTCAGCAAAACCTCCGATTCCCTTTGACAAAGGTCGTTTAGGTGGGCCATCACGGTAGCAATGCGGCGCGCCACGAGAAAGGTATGCGGCTCCTTGGGCAACGGAGGCTGATTAATCGGGCTGTTCGTTGCGTATAGCAGCTCTGCCGCGGCACCCCACTGATGCAGTCTCTGCGATGTCGTCATACCATCTTCCATGCAGATGACAGGGTGACTCTTGCGTGGTCTGCTCTTGGACATAATGGCTCAACCAACCTTCTTGATCAAGTGCACTGAAGATGTACAAAGCCACGAAATTTTTTTAAAAAAACAAACATATAATAATAGTAATAATTATAATGAAGCAAATCACCAGTATTGCAATAACACCACACAAAGGGAAGAATGGGGCGGGAAACGCTGGGAGACTCCTGGTGCTTCTTTTTCCTCCTGTTTTCTCCGCGTGTCATTTATGGGCGTCTGTGTGGGGCGGGAAGGGAGTGAAAAAGAACCTCCCCAGAAGGAAGTCCGGCGAACCAAAGCGCTGCGGCAACCCAAAAATGAATCCCTGGCAAAAAACAAACTTAAACATGATGATTCCAACGATAACCACATAGTCAATGAGGACAACAGTGACGTCGCTGCCACTCTGAACACAAAAACCAAAACGTAAAAATCTCACCTCTCACATAAGCTTGTAGAAGAATGACCTTGAAGGAATTGAGTCAAGGAAAAAGAAAGAACAATAACACATATTAGTCAACGCAAACCACCTGCAGCATCGTTGCAAAGTCACCTTCCCGTTTCCCACTTTCTTTCCTTTCCAGTTTCACTTCGTAAAACGTATACAATAATAGTGATGAGCCTCGTTTTTCTTCTTTTTCCTCTCTCTTCTCCGGTGACTTGAGCCTACCTTCACTCCTGTTTCTCCTTCGCCTCCCTCCCCTCAACCTCTTTCTCATTTTTGTGGCTGTGGTGGTAGTTGTATTCGTGGCAACGGTCGCCGCGCCCCCCGTCTGACTCTTTTCCCTCCAGGTACGCCAGCAGAAGCAAGACTAATATAATGATGTACTGCACCATCTTGGGGCGCAGCTTCTCCAACTCTTCGTCGTCAAAGTAGGTCGGCCGACGCAACACCGCATGCGGAAGAACGAGGACGCTGTTAATAAGCAGCACAAGCCCCAGCGTGCGAAGACCATCCCAAAATAGAAAGAGAAGCAGCAAAACAACAAGAAATATATCTGCGAGCCGCCGATACAAGACCGAAAATCCCCCAATATACATCTTTGACCCGCACTTGGGTCGCTTCCTCTCAACTAGGTAGATGCTGTGCACCGTAACCGTGAACACGCAAAGGATTGCAAAGAACAGCGGATCGTACAAAAGGAGAAAAGGTAGCACGACGGTGTAGCAAATCACAACATAATTTGCGGCATAAAATGGAAGGTTTAGGTTTAGGCGGGAAACCACATCCCCAAAATCATTTGGAGGAATAAATTGCTCGCGGTCAAAAAAATCTTTTAGCCACGGAAGTTCCTCCTTATGGAGTTCCTTGATAACTTTCCACACCTGTTGCACGACGTCGCGCAGAATGGAGAGGGCACCACTGACGTTCATTGGATGTTGATATTGTTGTTGTTCCTCCGTTGTGGGAGAAGTCGTTGTTTGGATCTCCGGCAACAGCTCTCCCGCAGTGTAAGAGGATGTGGCTGATAAACTGAATGAGTGCAGCTCGCTACTGCTATTGGTATCGTTGAGATGCAGGGCACCAGTAGTTCCCGCGTCGCCACTCGTCTGGTCTTTCTCCATTCCGTGAGCAAGTACCTCGTGTGGAGCACGACAGGTCAACAAACCAAGTACTTGATATACCGATGGACCTGCATGTGCGCGCCAGAAAGAAATAAAAATAGAGATAAAGAGAACAAGAGAAAGATGCCACATACGCATACCGAAATAGAAATGGAGCAGTGACGGCGGTGATAGAAGCGTCACTGACAGCCTCCAATTTGTCGAAGCAAAACGACCACAATAAAAACTTGCAAGGCAGAGAAAAACATATGTCATCACAATATACTGTGGAGTTCTTCCCCAAGTGTAAGGTGGAAGCAAGAACAATTCTAAAAAGAAACATGACAACAACAACAAAAAAAAAAAGAACACTGGAGAGGAAGAAAACCTTGCATTGACAAGGGAACAATAGAAAAAGTAAAAGATGTGTATGTGCGACATTCCCTACTTACAAAAAAAAACTAAATGAAACAAAAGCAAATACAATTCTCAGTCTCTCCCCCCACCCTGCATTATCACCTTCACTACTATCCGTTATGCCACGACGACCTTAGATTGCCAAGCTCAGTGCCGGAGTACTCCACAGGCTCCTTCGCCCCGTAAACGCCTTCCGCCACATTTTGTGTAAGTGAGTCCTCTCCAAAGAGCTCATTATTCCTTTCGTCATCACTGCCAGATGCCACGAGAGTGCGTTGGAGAAACGGCAGTTGCGGAAAAAAGCGGTGCGCGATGTGCCGGAGGTACATCGCCTTCACGTCGCATAGCGGGCCCGGGTTCAGCAGTAACTCTTTCAAATCCGTAAAAAGACGGTGTGGGTGGGGGGTTGCCCGGAAACGGAGACGGCTTAGCCACCATGCGCAGCGATGGGAGAAGCTGGTCGCTTTTGCAGCTCGAGCGTTGTCGCGAAGCGAGTTAGAGCGGAGCGACAGTGATGGAGAATGACTTCCACCACCCCGGCTATTGTGAAAAGAATCGTCGTCGCCAGCTCTATTCAGAAACCTTAGTGCCCCGCGTTCGAGGCAGTGACATAACAAAATGAGAATCTCCATAAGCTTCGGTAAAAGACCAATCAGACAATTTTGTCGCCGGCTCAGCTGCAGCGTGCACGTGTGCCGGAGGAACGCGATAATGGGGCGTGTCACTGGGTCAAGTCGCCGCGAATATGGATGAAGGACAAGGGCGGTTTCCGCTATAATTTTCAAGCTGTCCAGACTCACACCGTCCATGATCCGAAGTGACGTTGAGGAGATGTGCAAATCCGTCCGCGCCTCCCGCGCGTCTTCCTCAGCGGTGGTGACAACGCTGGAAGGACGACGTGGTAACTCCGTGGCATCCGGCAGGACAACGCGGTAACACTGCTGCCACACGTACTCTACCATGCGGTAGCGTAGCACAAGCGGCAGCTCGAGTTCCAAGCGGAGGGAGTCTACCGTTTGGTGAACCAAACAGCCATGTTCCAATAACGACAAGTTTGAAGGCAGATGCCCCTCGTCACGTGAATTGTTGCTCTCCGTGCTTTTTCTGATGTTTGCGGGCCACACAGCTGTCACCAAGGCGTAGGCAAACGACACCCGTTTTTCCTGTCCCTTGTTTCTTGTCATTCCCCAAGCACGGAGTACACCCTGCCACCCCTGCCGTAGCCAATAATAAGCTCTGCCTCCACCGCAGCATCTCAGCATCAAAGAAGTGAAATAAAAAGTTGAAGAACAACAACAACAAGAAAAAAATGCGTGTTGCAAAGCAGTCCAGACACACACACACAACTAAAACAAATAATAATAACAATAACCGAAAAAGCGAAAGAAACACCGATACATAAAGTTATAGCTTGAGGTATCTACAGTTAATTATATAAATATTTGTATATGTGTTGCGATGGGTCGCACCTCACGTTGTACTCACGCCTCGTAGCGGGATCGAGTGAACCGAAGCTTATCAAGCGGAATCCAACTCTCTGCGTTCTGCCTCGTCACCACTTCTCTTACCTGCAGATCCACCGAAGAGCCTTCCCATACTTCCTTTTTACATTCAAGTAGTTCCAGTGCACCCTGCCACTCCCCCTCAACGCGTAATGCACAGAGGGCAAAGAGGACAGCAAGTGGCGGATTGTGCACGCTGACGTCCTTCATGGATGCAAGAACCTCCAACCACCGTCCGCCCCGAGCCACACAAGCGGCAACGTAACCTACTCAACTTTAAATGCCGCTGCAACTCGGAGTTGTTGCTGTGTGTATACGAAGTGACGGAGGACTTGGGAATAAGCAGCAGGGAGTCCCACCACTCTAGACATGCTCTCCATTCTCCTAATCGTTGTAGCGTCAGAACCAATGGGACTGCGGAGGAAGGAGTGAGCTGGCCTCGCAACGCCGGAGTAGCAAGAAGCAGATTAGACAACTTCAGCGAACGCATGGTATTCGCGGCCTCCGTTATTGCCTTCACACTACTCCGTCAAGTGGATTCTACGTGATGCCATGAATTTGCTGACCACATCAATTGTTTCGTGCTGACGTCCTTGCCACAAGAAGCGTTACCACCATGTAAACAAACGCTTGCACAATAAACAAAAAAAAAATATCATTGCGATCACGTCATAACTGCAGGCGTTGCCAAATCCTGTGACAACGGGTGTCGCTACAAAGGCGGCCGGCATCAACCTTGAGAGGCCAGACCATAAGCGGTGTGTGAAGATGGGGCGCAACATATCACCGTACCCAAAGAGAAGCGAGATGCGGTGCCATCAACGGGCACAGCGCAAAATACCACGGAAAAAGAATAAGCGTTTCATACGCTATCACTCAGACACCAATTAAAAACCCCGTCCATCATCCCGGTGAATGACCCACGCGCTGAGAACACAGAACAATGTGATGGCAAGGACACACCAGACAATAAAAATCCCTTTCCGCCGCATTCGCAGGCGTTCCAAAAGGCAGTAACTTACCCTGTCCACTGTGACAGCTCCCTCATGAATACGATACATCATTTTAAAAAAAATCAATCCAAACATGCTCAGCATCTCCGCACGCTGCCGCAGCGCTTCATATAAATAGTGGAACACTGCCCCAATAATAATAATAAACATGAGAGGTGAGTATTGATACACGATTCCCAGAGGTAATGCGTGGTGTGAGACGATACTAGGACTCAGAAACACAAGTCGCTGACGCGGCAACTCAACATGCCGCAACAATGCGCTTCCCACCATTGTAAGAACGGGTAACGGAAAAAAATATACGACGATGCAAATGCTTCCCAAGAAAACAAGTCAACAGTGCCACCAATTGAAATTCAAGCACCACGTAATACGAACATGGGAAACAATGTTCCTTTTCATCGATAGGGAGAATGTTATTAACGAGAATGAAATTTGTCCACAGGTACTTCATTACAATTTAAATATGGCAAAAGAGTGTGCAAAAGATCCCCCAAAAAGGACCATGGCCACCACCCGACACAGCGTTTGAAAAAAAAAAAAACATCAAGACGGCAAATGAGACGGGGGTAACACTTGCAAGGTTGGCAATGAGATACTTGGCGTACCACAAAGTATATTCAACAAGAATCTGACGACACGTACGCCGTGTCGCCGTCACAGGGGTGGTGAGGAAAGTCATAAGTAACTCCTCAAAAAGATGAAGACGATGTAACGCCAGGAAACCAGCTATAAGAAGAAACGTTCCAACAGTAAAAGCAGCAAATGCCTCCTCCTCAAGAAAGGCATAAACAAAGTTCACCCGAGGCAAGTCCACATTCTCCATAATGAGAATCTGCCGTGCATACCAAACTAAGCTAAAGATCATAACCCACATCCACACAAGTACCCGTCAGCTGTTAAATAAATTTAAATTCACCTGGGGCTTTGGGGAATAACAACATTGACGAAAGCTGCTAATTAGTCATAGACACAACACGGCACAATTCACAAAGGATCGAAGGTCAGGCACGCCTGGGATTTCTGCCAGAAGTCTCTGCAAACTTCTATGTGACCAAGGTGCCTCCGTGGTTTATTCCAAAAAAAGATAAAAAAATGCCTGCCCCTCGCCGAGTACCTTCACTACTCACAGGTGCCGTGACAGTGGCAGGTACCGTTGCTGGTGTTGCCACAGCTGTTAGAACCTCTTTGTGCCTGACAAACAATCTGTGAAATGGTTTTGGCTTCCAACATGCGGTCCTTTCATCTTCCGTTGCCTGCACATAGAATGAATGTGAAGACTCACTACTGGTGCCAGCCTTACCTGCGTCAGACAGGCCTACAGAAGCAAGTAATGGCCGGGAGACATCTGTGGTAAATGTGGAATAGCCTATTCGATGATTCTCTGTGAGGTGTTTCTGGGCAAAAATGTGAATTTTCCTCGTTATGCTTTGAACACAAATTGGTGGCAACTTTTACTTTTGGTCTCTAGAAGTACCACACTGGGGGTTGTAACACCCGCACAACGGCCTCATCGGATCCCATCATCACCACTTTCAATGAGACACTACGGGCGGTGATTTCCAAGCAGTAGTCATGGAGTGTTGCCGGCAGCACAAGCTGTGCAAGGAAGCCTATGATTACCACGGAAACTATACTCTGCACATCCATCTCCAAAAATGAAGAATAAATACAAGGAACACAATTGATGTATTGCGCCAAGCTGTCTGACATCTGTGACGCGTGTGTGTCACCACTACATATGATTTCACAGTGGTTACAAGTACCATTTCAGCATGGGATCCACCACCACGTGCCGCACAATTTCCAAAAGCATCATACAGGTAAAAGGCAGGCAGTATCCAAGGAGACTCGAGATGTCCCAGTTGGACGTTGTGAGGAAGAGTACACCGTACTGTACTCCGTTCTCATTGGGGCATCCAGCGTGGCTCCCCTGCATACCTGGAGTACTGCCCGAGGCGCAAACAATAAGCTCCGTTTGGCCACAAAATGGCTTCGCTATTACTGGCCAGAGCAACAGCTACACTGACCACCATCCCTCGCCACCACTAGTACTACAAGCCAGTACAATTTCGTCAGAGGAAGAAATAACTAATATTTTTGAGAACAGAGCTGCAAACACGAGCCATAGTAGGATAGATACGCACACGCGCATACACTTTTTCTTTTATCCCCCTCGCAGGAGTAAGGCCAAAGACGCATGAATATCATAAGACGAGGAAGAGAACCAAAAAAAAAAAAAACTCATTCCTCACTGTCGCCTGCACCACGCAGCATACGTGGTGCAGATGCCTGGAGAGCAAAAAGGAGCTACGCATACCTGCAGCAAAACAGAGGAAGCGAGACAAAAAGAAAAAAAGACCCAAAAAAAAACAACAACAACGATTAACACTGAAACACACAGATGCAAAACAAAAACAAAAAAAACACTTACGAGAATTATGTCCGCTCTCTCGCTATCTGTGTTCATTCACGATGCTACTGCTCTATGGGGAAATGTCAACAAAGCATGCTCAGGGTGACACGTATCGCATTGAATAAACGTAACTTCAGGTAAGGGAGTGCAGGTACGCCAGCAGGAAGGAGATGAATCTGCGACCTGGGCTCACTTCTCACTCCCATATTTATCTCGTTTTTTCTTTTATGTTTTCCTTCTATTTTTACAGCGACAAGAGCCACAAGCAGGCATAGTATTGATTCTTTTTCTTTTGATTTTACTACCTCTCTCTATCCTTTACTTAGCGTTGCTTCCTCCTCCAGTCTATTTCTATGGAGTGTGATTTAAGTTACTCCTGCGTGATGGTGACAACATCGCCATCCTGCAGATTGTAGTGCATCAATGGATGCCGATCCAACAGAAACGAGCCGTGGGCCTGTAACACACATCGTGTCAAAGGTATCATGGTCTTCTGTTGCACCAGAGCACGAAGTTTTAGTACCCTTTCAGTGGCAGGCAGACGCACATCCCAGCGAAAACCCTTATCTTTGTACACCATCACAAGGCGTACGACTTCATCCCGCGCGATGATGATTACTTCTGGTGCAGCAACTTCACTCTTTCCGAGACCGAGCTCGGTGGTTTCCAGCCTGCACTTAGGGTCGAGTGCCACACCCCCTGTCCGCCACTCCTGGCATGCTGCACGAATGCCTGTGCTGTTCTGAACCATCAGCATCACGTCAGAAATGGTGTCATTCACATGCGCCGTAACACTGAACGCCTTGTTGCTGTGTTGGACACGAGCTATAAATGTACGCCAAACCCCTTCATCGTGTGGCATCGCAGCTTTTGCGGTTGCCGTTGTTGCAGCTGCTTGTCCCACCACTGCGGCCGCCGCAGCTTTGCTGTTATTATAACTAACGGTACTTGTTGCGGGTGCTGCATGGGTCTTCGCATTGGGCCCTTCCGCCTTGAACAGTGCTGACATCTGTGTAGGTTGCAGCGTGGGGGACTGAGCCACATCACTGCCACGCCCTGAACGTTCTTCACTCACCGTGATAGGCACCCCAAAGGCGTACCACATTGCATAATTATGAATAAAGTACCGCACAAAGTCTTCAAAAATGACATACGTAGTGTCGCCAAAGATATCTACCACGCGGCGTCGCACCTCCATCTCAGGCATTTCAATGGTACGCCCAATAAGAGCGTGTTCAAGTATAAATATCACGTCATCCCTTGCAATGGCTTGTTCCATGTCGCAACGAAGCGCAAAAAAACAAAAGCGCGCCGCCTCCAGCGGTGTCATAGTCCTTACATGAAACGTACAAGTGACAAGAAACTGCCTTAGCTCATTTGGAGAAAACCCGGGTTCTGCCTGGTTAAAAAACACAGATAGAACACGCGCCACACCAGGATCAAGTGCTGCGCGTCCCATTATTACATCCAACAAATGCCGCACATGCACCATGGAAGGGTTCGCCTCCATAATACAGTCTCGCTTCCATCGCCGTTCCGTCGCTCGTGTGATATGCTGATCTGACTCCCAGAAAATCGGTTGATAGGCTCCAGGTGGTACATCCGGTGGTGGTCTACCCCAATCCCTCGCGACATGCGCGTACTGCGCCTGGTGCGCTGGATCATTAATGAGACCACAGTATTCCTCTGCACACATGGGCGTTTCGCCTCCCAGTGGCTGGCGTACCAATCGGATGCAAGCAAAAAGAAGTCCCAAGTCCGTCCCGCGGGCGGTGCGCACAGCAGTCGTCCACCACACATCGCGCTCCATAGCGAATGAAGCCATGGGTTGTATGGGCAACGTCACCGCCACATCGTAGGCGTTGGTGTGGTTCATTGCGTTCTGAATGGTGCAATGAATAATTGCCCGCTCAAGCTGAGTTGCGTTCTGTATTGTAAGAAATAACGGGTTAGCCCCGTCAAACACGAAACGATCCTGCCCCCCAAACTCTACAGAGGTAGTATACTGGGTGCCACGTTGGTATGTGTGGCCCGGCACAAGCCACGTCGCTCGAAGCACCAGTCCCACAGGGAACATTGGCTGATTCACAGATGTCGGTGACGCAGTGATGAGGGCACCTCCGTGCGGGGAAAGTGAGACGTCCCACGATACCGTCACAAAGCCAAAGTCATCCATGCCACATTTTACAAGTTTTGCCACATCCTTTTTAAACAGCGGATCAAACTTGTCGTGTGCGTTGCGTGGCTGTAGCATGAGACGTACCGGCTGTGTGGATCTGCTCGGGGCATGCAACATAAATGGACACACTGCCTGGCCGTAAGCCTCACCCTGCGCATCCTCCAATGTGATGATAACGCGCTGTTCCACACCTTGTTCATCCTCAAGCGTGTCAGTCGTTAAGCCCATCTGTTTTTGCACTCTGGCCAGTGATCCCTTTCCGGTCGGACAGTGAACCCTCGCACCGGGAACCAAAAAACGCAAAGTCTCATTAAAGTTTGGTTTTGACGTAAAGTACTGCCGCCGCGTGAAGGCGACATGATGCTCAGTTGCAACAGTACTCGTTGTCATCGACCTGCCTCCAGCAGTCGCGCCACGAGCAGGCATTGTCTTGCGCAGCGTGGACACACTCAGCTGCGCCGCAGGGTCACACTGTAGCAGCCGTGCAGTAGGAAGAAAAGCTCCGTGTATTGTTAGCTCTACATTGCTGTCAAACTCAATCTTAAGCGGCGCGCTTGCCTCATCGGCCACAGCCGCGCTCATCGCTCGTAGCAGACCAAATGAATGAGTTTGAAAAGGACTCAACCAAATCAAAAAGCGAAGAAGAATAAAAAGGGAGACGGCATGAACCAGCGGTGGTTGAAGCAGCTATACAACTCCCCCTCTCACCCCCATCACAGGGGCAAAAGAGCAAATGGGTGAAAAAGGAGGAAAGAGAGTGCCAACCAACACGGAAGAAAAAGGCGGAGGACTTGACAGCACGCTTCATTCCCCACCGCTTTGGAAGAAAGTATACCCTCCATGTACTTCTTTGCAACTTCTCGGCACGTTGCGGTCGCATGCCTCTTACCATCATGTCAAACGCATAAAAAAAAAAATTGAGCACCTTTTCTCTTCTCCTCTTCACCAAAGTATACAGAAATGTGGTTCGACCAAAATAGACAAAAAAAAACGCTGCAGCTAAGGGGTTCTCGCGTGCACCCACCCACCCAGAGGGTCAGAAGTACGCAGAGAGGAGGAGACAGAAAGAGAGAAATACTTTGAGAAAAAAACAAAAGACGCGCGAAACAAAACGTCGTCAGAGAGACTGGTACACACATAAACACACAGAAATAGATTTTTTTTTTTTAGCACATCGACAACCTCCTTTCCATCCATATGCGCGTGATTCCTCTTCCCGGTGCCTTGCACATTTCATTATTTTCTTCTTCACGATGCCCCAACCAGCGTAAGTGAAGCCCAAATAAGCGGGGGAAACTGTAAACGCCGCGCTGCCTCCTGTGTCATGCGCAACGCCAGTGCGTATGGGTAACGCATACGCCACTCAAGCGCAAGCCGAAGCTTCTCGAGATACATTAGAACAAGCCGCTGATGGTCCTCCGTGATACTCGCACCAGACAAAAGATCGATCCGTAGGACGCGGCGACAGCCATGATCAAGGCATAGTCGTGCCGCCACTCCTGGCTCCTCAATCGATGTGGCAATAGAGGCATCATTCGTAACAACTACAAGATTAAGCGACTCCGAGAGATACGGACGGCCGCGTGTCAGATCTTCCAAACGCACCATGCCATCGGCAACTTTAAACATGTGCTTAACAGGATCGCACAGCACCATTAAGGCCCGGGCCGAAGGTGACGAGAAGGCCGATATTATTTCCTTACGCGTACATCCAGTAAATGAGGTCCAGTGATAAAAAGTGCAGTGGCGGCATTTCTCTGGGCTCTGATGCGCCGCTGCAGAACCGAGATGCGGGCCATCCAGCGAGGCAGTGACAGAGCTCCTCGTAGTTGCCACCGATGACTTACGAGAGGCCACAACATCTGCTCGCAGGTTCCCTGACGACACAGAATCCACTAATGATATGCAGCGCACCGTCTTTTCTGGGAGAAACACACAGATATCTTCCTGTGGGGCGTTAAGGAAGCATGGATCTTCCTCGTGCTGCATGCTGCTAAGAAATTGCGCAACACATGGTGCCACGACCATTGTGAACTGCTGGCCCAAGGGTTCAGCGGTCACACCAGAGCCATGCAGCGCAGGGAAAGGAACGTGCAGCAAAGTCGGGTCAAGAATAAAAACAAAACATTCAGCCTCATTATTAAAGCAGTGAGCCATGCGGAGCGTGCCTCGAATAGGGGACCAGAGATCTTCATGCAGATCATGCAAGCATTGCTGGAATTCCTCGTTTGCAACTGCTGATTCGGCCGCTAGATCTGGTATACCCAATGAGACATCTACAGAACCAGCCCGACTTCGTCGTGTAAATGAACCAAGTGAGGAGGCAATTGCCGAGAGTCGATTTTCCTTACGTTCTCCCGATGAATACAGTAACGAGTCAGCGCATGCCAAAGATGCTGCTTCTCGTGTTGAAGACGGTGCCAGCTGTTTCTTGTGAAAATCCTTCAGGGCGTATGCCTGCACAGAGCGTCTAAGAAAAAAAGAACGTCTGGCGGGGCGAACAATGGCAACATATTGCGTGGCGAACTCCAAAAAGTAAAATACAAACGTGCATCGCGGAAATGCCAAGAGAGCAAGGTCAACCGCGTCAGCTGGGTTGCGTGGAATTAAGCGCTGACGCATCTGCAGTGGCATGAGTGACAGCTGCGTGACTGTTTCTATGATCTCTAGAGCCCGGCTAAAACAAAGTGTCTGTACTCTTGTATCTGCAGAGGATGGAGGTTCTAGTACGGTCTCCGCAATATCCACTTGAGCCCGCTCAGGTGATGCAACAATCTCGCCTTCTACAAATGCTGGGCGTTTACACAGCGAGACCTTTGCAATCGAGGTCGTAAGGGACCGCAGGTGCGGCGTTGTTGTCGATGCCGTGGATGCTACCGATCGTGCAGTGGACTTCTCGACAGGAGCTGAAATGTCGTCTATCCGACCCGTGCGCGTCAGCGTCACCTTTTTGCTGTTGCTGGTGGTTGCGGGAGTCCCACCGTCAAGAATGGCGATGAGATCTGAATCGAAGGAGTTATTTGACACTACTTCTTCATCATCATCGTCATCGTTGTCGCCGTTAAAACAAAACCCCTCGGTATCCCCCTCTTCTCGTAAGGCATATGTGCCAGTGCTATTACCACTTACACCAGCGAACTCCTGTACTTTCCTTAGACGTTTTTCTTCCTCCCGCATAAGAACATTAAGATCCCCACTCACAGCTTTCACCTGAAACTCATCGCCACCAGTTGCGCTATTGCTAACAGCAGAGGATGTCCCAGGGTTGGCCTTGCTGCTGGAGAGGCGACTGGTCTTCTCTACAAGCAGCACTTCCTCGTCGTTCAGATAAAAATGGTGCACAAGCCAGCGTGCCGAGTCTGCTACCGCATTGCGATCCTCTGAATTTATCTTTGAAACCTTTGAAAAGGCTGAAAGAGCAATTTCATGATGCCGCTTCGCCTCAAAAATCCGTTGACATGTGGCATATGCCAGGGCAAGAACGGCATTGGCATGCCCCACTTCAACCAAATTCCGCGCCTGACGTGCTTCACTGTCCCAAATCATGAGCACATTAATCGCCTTTTGTACCTCTCCATCTCCAAGAAGAGCACGAGCTCGTGTATTAAACAAGATTCCTTTCCATTGCCGACAGTTGCATTGGACTTTTTCCCGTTCGTCAAGGGCTTCAATACATTCCTTGTACTGTCCAAGATGCAAGTAAGCGCCAGCCAGGGCCTCCAGCGCAAAGCGTTTATCTGCAGCAGCGTCCACACCCTCCGCGCCGGATGCCAATGTATCCAATTCCTTTGCCGTAATAATCACATCCGCATACTTGCATTTCGCACGTTGCGCAGCAATGATGTTGCGCATGGTTTCACGACTGATCTCCTGATCCTCATACCCCTTTGCAAGCGCACTCACTTTTGCCCAGTGCGCTTCCGCCTCCCCAGTCTCGTCTGTAGCTGTATACAGTCTGGCAAGTCGGATATGGGCGTTGTACAATAACAGCGCATCACCCGCCTCTGAGGCGTAATCCAAAACCTGACGATAATAGTGAATGGCCGTTTTAGGCTTTTTTAGCGCGGAGTATACCTCAGCAAGCTTTGCAAAAACCAGTGACTCCCCTACAAAGTAATTATTCCATACTCTTTCCCGTTCCTTTTCAGTGTCTATCAGATACGATTTACTGCTATTGGTATATCCATGCATGTTTTCACCATGCCTATCAGCATACATGGCAAGAGCGTTTGAATATTCTTGCAGTGCTTTTTCCCATTCACCTAGCATGGCCCAGGCATCACCACAAGTGATCGTAATAGTAGGCTGCAGTGCATTCACCGTAAGCAAGGTTTCAGTAAGAAGTCGTTTGTTCACAAACAGCATTGTCTGAAATTCCTCTTTCAAGACCGTCGCCTTAAGTTGAAAGATCGAAAGCTGTGTGCTTGCCCACAGTTTCACTTCTTTCAAAAAAATTCGCACACGTGTGATTTCGCGACATGCGCGTTCCCCGTCAAACTTGCTTAAACACTGTGTATGAACATCATACGCTTTGAACTTCAACTGGAGTGTCTCTATGCGCTCCTCCAGATCCCGGGCTGAGATGAGCTGCGTGGGATCCGGTAACGCATCGGACCACAAAGGTGGGCGGACAGAGGCTGAGTTCAATTTGTCCTCAATGAGCGGCTCCAGTAGAAGTGCGGCCTTCTTGGGTTGTCCAAGACGCAACAGTGCCCTTGCGGCCACGACGAGGGAAGCGGTGACGTCGACCAGTGTGCGACTAGAGGGGGGCTTCACTTTAGAGATGCAGCGTTGCAGCGCATTTTGCGCTGCATACGCGCTGTTTACCGCATTACTGAGCTGCTGACGGCGACACCGGACGTTAACTTCGTGCTCCGCCTGCAACACGTAGGCAAGGGCGAGGTTGCGTTCGCTTTCCGCCTCGCGGCGAAGCGCGTCCACCTCGCGCTCTTTTGCATTTAAACAGCCTGAATCTGTCCCATCAGGAACAGTAGCATCGGGACCCGTTCCCGTTACCTTCGCTACCGTTGTTGTTGCTGCTGCTGTTGCGGGTAGTGCTGTTGATAAGACCTGGGACATACTCTTTGCGCATTCAACTGCCTGTTGAAAGGCTAGCACCACGCTGCCGTATTGTTTCTCCACTTTAAGTTGTTCGCCCCTTTCCTTCAATGCAGCGTACATGTCCTCATTTCGGCGTGACCGACGAACACATTTTACACACTCCAAGTACTGTTCAAAGTACTTGGCAGTGTTGGTGGTGTCATCCATGCGGTGGTAGGCACGCCAGATGGTCCGAAGAAGGAAAAGCTTTGCACAACGAACGCCATGTTGAAGTGCAGCGTGGCGCACCACAGACGCGCCAGATGCCGAGGTAAACTCATGAAACGCCTGTTCACAAAGTTCAGCCTGTGGAAGGGCGAGCTGGACCGTTTCAAGAATCGAGGTGTCCATGCGAGACACTTCCTGCACCTGTGCTAGCAGCACCATGGAGTTCAAATATTTCAAGCCACATCCGCAGCCCTTCTTCCCGTATAACCATTCCTTCTTGGCATGGGCAAAATGAGCATGGGCAGCCTTGAGAGCGTCAGGATAAATCCCAGTGGCAATGCGTAGCTTCACAAGGGACTCGCGAGCACTTTGTCTGCAAGAAAACGAGCAACCCGCCAGTGAGAATTCACCTTCCTCATGCGCGCAAAGTTCTGCCTCCTGAAGGCGTGGAGTAGAGATGTTTAAACACTGTTCTACACGCAGGTGCAAAACAACGACCCATAGTTGCTGCGTCACAAACGGCAACAAATCTTCTTCAAACGCTGAATGCCTGGATCCAGCCATTGACATAGCGGTCCGTGTGCAGTTTGCATGCATGCAATGCATTGATAATGTGCGGGAAGACTGAATATCCACATCACTTACAGTTGTTACTCTCTCCGGTGATAACTGAGACACGCATGACGTCTTATGTTGGTCCTCCGGCAAAACGTCGCTGCCATTAACCCCGCCTCCCACCACTGAGAGAGCAGTATTGACGCCACCGTACACATCTACACAGATGCTTCGGAACTCAAGTAACTCGACAGGGGCGGAATGACGCTCGTTATTCGTCTCGGTCACTACAGCTGGTTCATGCATTTCATCCCATGCTTTTCGGAGTAACTGCAACGTTTCTTGCCGCTTCTCCTCATTCCAGTACGGCGAACATATGGCATAGGCGGCCATATTATGGCAATGACAAAGATCAAACAAGGGTAAAATAACATCCTGATTTTTTGTCTTCGGTATCATTGAAACAGATGACTGCTCTTCGATATAGGCCACCCAGGTCAGGACGACACTTTGTTCATACACATTCTCCACCTCCTCCAAAAGGTCATCCAGCGCAATGGCATCAACGACGCGTTCCATTAATGAAGTAGTGTGTTGATGGACTGTTTGACCCTCAGAAGTTTTGTTCACCAAGGCTGTATCTGATGGAACCTGCGGCTTACCCTCTGGCAAGGTACTGACGTGGCACTGAGGGTATTGTAGAATACACTGAACAAGTTCATTACCGGAAGCATCATGCAACATCCAGAGTGATATGACAACTTCTGCAGTCTTTCGTTGGCTGGTTCCCAAGGCCCTCATAAGATCTTCGACTACGTTCTCCCAATGCACTGAAATAGCAGATGCCGTCTTTTTTTCAGTAGCTGGTGATAGAAGCTCGACGGATAAGGAAACAAAAGAATCTTGCTGCCTAAGTTGGTGCTGCAAGATGTCTTGCATAATGATCCATGTGGTGAGGGAGTTGACTAAAGCCAACTTCTCCTCATTGTTCCGGAACTTATTCAGTTTGGCCTCATTGTTGGCTTCTCCAATCATTTTAGAACTAGTGAGTGACGCCCCTTTTTTAGACGGGGTCGCTCGTTGAACGGCTTCAAAAGCTGGAATCTCGCCGTCGTCTATCACAAGAGCTGTCAGAGAGGCCTTAGGGCGATCAGAAGGCACCTTGGAAGGTGTTGGAGGAGATAAACCAAGCGGCGTCGTTATTAAGCACGACTGCCGAGACTGCATCATCGCATCAGCGTAAATATAACAGTCCATCTCAAAGAGTAGTTTAACTATTCGATGCAATAACCACCGCCAGGCTTCTTGTGTAATGATCCTTGCGTCATTATTATCCTGGAGATCGTTATTCGGCACCTCAGGCATTAGCGCAGGCTCCTCGGACACCGCTGCCTGGTCTTCGGAGCAATCCACTGCAGTTGCCTGAGCATCTGCTGCGCCTCTCGTCTCACAGACACCAGTCTTCCCTGTCACCTCCTCTGGTACTGCAAGAAGACAAAGTTCAAGCGCGGCCAGCATCTCCTCCCGTTCACGCCTCAATGCATGCATGTACTCCTTCGTGGAGTTTCCACAACAAGTTGGCACTACACTAGCTGACGACTCTGCTGTTGCGGCACACGTGATCATCCCGGAACCCGTGCAATCCTTCTTAGAGTGTGTGCAGGACATGGGTAAAACATTTCTCTCGGCAGATTCCAAAAGACCGACAATATACTGCAATGCGGCCTGCTTGTTTTCAAAGGGTCCCATGGCGCCCTGCCCTTGCGCTCGCTGCTGCTGTTGATGTAATGGAGCTCCTTGCAGAGAAGTGGAGTTGCCATGGTCTCTGTTCTCGGCACCCTTCGTACCACCCTTTCTCCAGAAGTTTGTGAGTTTCCTGAAGTTCATCGACAAAAAACACACACCCAGAAACCCTACAAAAAACAACAACAATCGAGCAATGCAACCCCTCCCGGCCCACACCTACTTTCGATCACTAGCACACTTGGCAAAATAAAAGGAAAAAGAATGGGGCAATAACGCAGTCCCACTCCCCTCCTCTCTGTTTCTTGGTTTTCCCTTTCGCACTCCCCCCTCCCCTCCCCCACCTTGTATGCGCGCGATCTGTGTCGATGGTCGTTATCACGAGCAGTTGCCTGCAAATTGAACGGGTGAGAGTGCACTGGGGCTAGCAAAAGAAAGATGCTTAGAGAATGCACACAAAGAAGAGAGAGGGTGCACCAAAAGTGGGAGTTGCAGAGCGGTGTGAGCAAAGAGAAAAGGAGTGCACAAGCTACGCACATAAAGGAAAGCAGCAACTACGCCGGCAAAAAAAAGTTCTCACGATCAATCAAAAACATTCTACACACAGATTGAGGGAACAAGAGAAGATCTCTCTCTCTCACTTTCCCTACCTCTATTGGACTCTCACCCTTATTCTTTCTCTCCCTCTTCTTAATTTTCTTAATATTTGTGTATGTGATGCCGCGCCCTATTTGCCTTCCTTCACTGTGTTGACTCTTAACTCTCCCTTCGTTCGCAAACCCCGTCCTTTGCCAGAATGTAAGCGTATGTGTATTGCTTTGATTTATCCTTTACTACGACGACCTAAACACAGAGGACTAAAAAAGAAAATGACATGCGAAATTCCATTCCCATAAACAAGTATATGAGGGAAGTTGAAGCACAACAGGTAAACCCCATTCACCGACAATGGCAACAACACGTAGGTTGGGGGGTGGGGGGAGAGAGAGACGAAATACCAACAACGTCAGCCAAAGCAAGAAGACGCAAGAAGACGCACATGCACACAAACGCACCTAAAAAGGGAAACTCTGGTGTTATGATAATCAGCGTCATTATATTTCTCTTCATTTTTCCACTCTTCTTAAGGTATTTTTCCTTCCTCTGCCAGGGCCAAGCCGCATACGCAGCACCGACACCGACGCAGGAATTCCTCACTGTCAGCCAACCTACACCTCCGCCATTTTCGTCACACCACTGAGATGCTAGCGCGCCGCCTCTGAGCGCCGCTGCCACACCTCCCATGGCCGTACTTCATGCGCCTCACGCGCCACATGGTCGAGATAAACAACAGTGCCGTGGTACACAACTTTTTCCCATCCAGGGGGCAGTGGTTCCCCGTCGCTGGGGCAAATCGCGGCGTAAAGCGCCTCTTCCGAGATTTCATCCACACTCTGCAACGGTGGGACGCCGAGCTCAGTGACAGGCGTTCGGTTCTCCGTCCTGGGACGACTGCTTCGCTCCTCCACGTTCTCGGGGGAACGCTCGCGGTGCACCGGGAAGCCACGTCGAGACATTGCTACGCACAGGCAAAGACACAAGACGAGAAACCCGACAGCTACTGAAGGGCACTGACTAACACCCCCCCACTTCCCTCACACCGTAAACACACGTGCATCAACAAACAGGAAAAAAAAATAAATAAAACAAAAACACTAAAAGTTACCAACCCCTCAACAACGCAACAGGAAACAATCCACAACTAAATGGTAATATATAAACATATATATATATATACCAAAATCAAACAAAAATAGGAAAACACAAACCGGCACACCTACTCTCCTCTCAACGCGAGCAACTTCAGCAAATTATCATAAGACTGTTAACCCTTAATTTGTACACATACGCCTTTTCAGTCTGGAATCACAGCGTACAAGCATGTAGCAGAAAAGAAAGCCTGGCCGTCCAAAAAAAAAAACACAAAAAAAAACAAGTACAAGTGTTCTCAATCACATCCTCAATAAAGCAATGTATACATATCGCAACACCTACCAATAAAATCAACGGCAAACCAAGAATAACCATTAGAACACGTCGTAAGCACCACTTCCTCATCACTGCACAGACTAACACAGTCATCATCGTGAATGAACCAACGCATTTTGCCTACCTACAACGCGTCTCTTGCTCCTCCAAAGTATTCCGTTCATCGCTGAATTTTCCGTTCAGGCGGGGCAGGGTTCGCACTATTTTCGCGATGAAGCCTAAGGGCATGCTCACGACCGTACTCCGAAATTACCTCGGACTTTCCGCAGTACGATACCTGCAGTGGCTTCTCCCGCTCCATGTTATAGCGGTTGTGGAGAGCCATGATCGCACAGTCGGCCTCCACCGTGGAGGCAAACTCCACAAATGCACTGCCCTTGCTACGACCGGTTCCTCTATCGCGAAGTATATTTACGTGAAGCACCTTCCCGTAGAAGTCAAAAAGGGCACAAACATCTTCCTCAGTTGCCTCAAAGTTTAGCTGGCCCACAAACAAACGCGCCCTTCCAGCCACCATAGCCACGGAAAACAGCCACAGAAATGCACTAGCAACAGTTCTGCGCCCCCTCGCCCTTTTGCAAGCGCTTCCAA